CCTGACCACCCGATCCCGTTAGTCGCCTTCTTACGACAAGCATTGTCGCCATTTACGACAAGCATGGGATGCTGAAGACCTATTCTACCCCGGATCTTCACGGGTATGTAGCACCCGTGAGTGTCTTACCGCAGTTCTTGAGATTTATGCCTCTTACGACAAGCATAGTTGGGTTGGTTGGCCTAAAAATTAAACCCGGTCACAAGGCGATACGAGTGGCCATCCTAACCACATGACCACCCATTCCACCGTCTGTCTAGCCAGAATATATATTTACAAAACAACAATAATAAAATCAAAATGGAGCCCAGAACAATCCTTGCTTTCAGGCTTGAGCTTAGGCAATCTAGACTTGCCAAATCATTCTACACTTGAGTTTGCCTCCTTTTATAATCATTTTCTCTAGGGCCTGGAAGGCCTATTTCTATAGTCTATTTTATAGTTCCATGTCCCTATTAGCAAATACGTTCCAAACAACAGGCGCGATTGAGTTCCTATTATTATAGTCTATTTTATAGTTCCATGTCCCTATCAGCAAATGCATTCCAAACAACAGGCGCGATTGAATTCCTATTTTTATAGTCTATTTTATAGTTCCATGTCCTTATTAGCAAATACATTCCAAACAACAGGCCTGTAATATTTCTGAAATCAAAACAAAAACTGCCTCTGCTAAACACCGACCGGCTCTACTTAAACACTCATAAATATGTCGGCGATGATTTGCGGCGATTCAATTAATGCATCCGAAAGGATAATTACACATAAACATGTGTAACAACATTGATCAAACATGAAACCAGGAATTAAATAAGTATTGATGTTTCACTGTACGCTTGAAAAAACATGGTCCGTTCCTAACCAACGCAAACACCAGACCCCGTCTGGTAGAGTAGTGAATCTATTACCCATATAGCATAACACCGTTACACCATAAAGCCAGTGTGTTCTACTCGCGGGCGTGTAGGTGATTGTGAATGGGTTTTGATGGAGACGTCAGCGAGGGGGGACAATATTCTAACACAGCATCAGATCAATAGACATGGCTATGAATATCTTCAATCTGGGGACTAGCTGTACGTTCAGTAATGTCGCACTGTTTCAGACGGGGCCGCGAGATCTGATGGCTGTGTGCTGATCGTACGAGAGATGGTCCTGTTCCGAGTGGCTGTCAGACAATACGATTACACAGGATCGGGCGGGGAGAGCTTTGTTCTGGGTTTCTGTGCGAGTATTAGCTTACTCGTGTTAAAACAGCGGGTGTCAAGTGAGAGGTTGCGTCAGGTTTTTGTTTTAAGAGGATTTTTTCGCCTGTAAAATGTGTGGATTATTTTAGCACATCATCACGAAATTGCCGGGTGACGTAATCGGATAGCGTTGTACTGTCACAGAAAATAAGATTGATGGTGTACAGGTTTTGATTCTCTATGGGGGGATAAAAGTTTGATTAACATTCCGTGACAACGGAGAAGATTAAACGTATTATGTTTAGTATTTACGTGTGTTGGAGGGTATGGAACAACGTGTCTGTAACAACCCTCCCGTCTTTAAGTAATTCAAGAGAGTAACACTACAGACCAGGAACCCGATCCACAGAGCGATCTTAGCGCTACGACTGTCGTAAGTCAGTGTTAAAGAATGGGAGTTACGATCGACTTAGCGCTAAGATCGCTTTGTGGAACGGGGCCCTGGACTTTGAAAATCCACTTTCAAACATAAATCTGTATGCCATGAAGTTACGTTAGCGTGAAATTAAACCTCTAAAAATCAGACGCGGGTCTCGTTTCACCAAACGATGTTAACGTCGCAACTATTGTGTGTGTATCTCACCAATCGTAGAGGAAATATAGCGTTTGTCTTCAGCAACCCATGCTTGCCATTAAAGGCGACTATGCTTGTCATAAAAGGCGACTAACGTGATCGGTCGGTCAGGCTCGCTGACTTGGTTGATGCATGTCATCGTATCCCAATTGTGTGGATTATTTACAGACCGCCGTCATTTAGCTGGAATATTGCTGAGTGCGGCGTTAAACAACAACAAGATAATAATCACGTGTTACAGAGCATTGTGTATTAAACTCAGTTTGTTTGTTTGTTGTTTAACACTGCACTCAGCAATATTCCAGCTGTATGATGGTGGCCTGTTAATAATCGAGTCTGGACTAGATAATCCAGTGAATATTATCATTTATACATATGTAAAAACAACGATCCAGGCCGTCGGGGTACGATGATACGCTGTCGAGACAGTCACTGAGCCTGACCAGTAGACCCATTATGTCGCCTCTTACGACCAAGCATACATGTAGATTGTGGGGGCCGATTGAAACCCAAGTTAATTACTGTGAAAATGTGACATTGTCTTTGTGTAATTAGTGTTAGCATTCGCTGCCTAGGAGCGGTTGGGTAGCCCGGTTGTTCAATCGATCGCTCGTCATTCCGAGTTCCGAGTTCCGAGTTCGATTCCCCAAATGGGTACAACGTGTGAAGACCATTTCTGGCGTCCCCCGCCGTGATATTGCCGGAACACTGCTAAAGCGGCGTAAAACCATACTCACTCATTCACTCACTCATTAACTGTTTAATTGTTCAACACCATCATAATAAACGAGTTTAAAGAATTGGGTTTTGAAAGACTCAAATCTGACCCCAGTCCTTCGTTAATGAGATATGCATCCTACTAAATTTTCAAATATGAGTGAGTGAGTGAGTGAGTTGGGTTTAACGCCCCTTTTAACAGTATTCCAGTTATATCACGGCGTGTCAGCTTAATGTGGGAGGAAAGCCCGAAGTGATGCAGGTCTCAGACGTTTACCACTTCGGTGATAAACCCACGAGCACTGGTTATGGTGCTGACAAACCTAGAAGCATAATTGGGGCGAACCGGGATTCGAACCCACGATCATAGGTTTCTGGCGTGCCCAAGGGACGCAACTCTGCACTTCAAATATGATAGAGTTTGGAAATGTCAACACAGCATAAAAGGTTCGTCGACTGCACTGCACTCAAAGTGGAAGGAACACGAGAACTATTATTCATATGACCTTTCGTGTAAGTATTCGGTGACCCTGACCATTTGTCGAATTGACAAAGGTCAAGGTCAATTATATTCCCCGGAGTCCTGCGAGCAGGAAGGATTATTTGAAAACTATTATCAAATGTGGTATCATTTTACAGCTTGTCCCGTGTTCTCTAAGAGTTGAAAGTACAGGAAAGACCCAGGCCTTAGAGTCTGTGACTTCAAGGAGCCGGAATGTGTGCTAATTTGTTCAGAAATAAAATAAATATTTATAACCAAAAAAACAAATCGCGAATTTGAAATCATGTCCGCATAGATTTCCATGTAAGATGACCAACCTGGAATAAAAATTCGAACATACCTTTTTGAGAAAAATCTATACAATGTTAGCTCCTAAAATAGCAGCGTAATTATAGTGAAAGGATCATTCGACAGTAGCAAGTTTAACTGTTTCCGATATTTATGTTCATGTGGCCATAAGGTGGAAATAAAGCGGGCCAAACATTTTGTTGCTCTCATTCGAACAGAGGCACACCGGCACTTATCGATATTCGCTGAAGGAGAAGTACATATTTATACGGTTAATGGCTGGTTTAGGGTCTTTGTGGCAATTTGAGACCAGTTTAACAAATTCTATCCACATGCGGAAAAAATGGACTCCTTTCTACAAATATCAGTGAAACGCATGAAGGCTGCGCGTACGAACAGTGGAACCAGTTACATGTCCTTTGAAGACTTGAACCTCAAATCCTTGTTAACAAGCTCCTCGCAGCGACACCCTGCTCTCTTCACTTTCTACACAGCAGCATGATAAAACCGGAAGGGGCAATGTGCCGAGTTAGTGAGTGAGTTGGGTTTGACGCTGCTTTGGGCAGTGATTCAGTTATATCACGACGTTTCGGTTTAGTATCTAGATAGCGGCATATATTGAAGTCATGGTATCATTAAAACAGGATTGAATCAAGGATTCCCACTTTTTGTCTTATTATTTCAATGTCATCAATCAAAGAACTTACAAAAACGGAACTGACATCCCAAAAGTCACCAGGCTGTCATCCTCAGCTTAGTACAGATAGTGAGCGTTACAATGTGTGCGCAAGTACGGCTATAGCTGAGGATAATACTCGGACTTTACGACCAGCGAATCCTGGCACTTCTAAGGTAGACAAGGCATGACAACGTGTGGATTAAGCACGTCCTTCACATATTCAGAAATGGAGCCCTGGACATGTGGATATGTCTACATGTGTGTGAGAGTTAAGATGTATCGAAAATGAGTGTCATTTCTCATTTGCCTCCAGTACGACACTGCCCGTCGTTAATATAGCACAGCCACCTGCCTGGCTCCCTACCCGGGGGCCCTGGCTGTACAGACACACGCTGTACATGACGCAACCTTATAAATGTATGTATGCCGAACATTCAAACTTAAACAGTATACAAAGAATTAAATTATCATCTATATATCACCCACCATAATTGTAATGTATTGAACGAATGAACGAACGAACGATTAGATGGATGGATGGATGGATGGATGATCAAACGATCTGATGAAAAATTGACCGAACGAACGAACGATTGAATGGACGGATGAATGAATGAATGATCGAACGAACAATGAATGAACGAAAGAACAAACGAACGAACAATTGGATGGATGGATGAATGAATGATCGAACAATTGGATGAATAAATGACCGAACGAACAATCAATAAACGTATGAACGAACTAACGATTGGATGAATGGATAGATGGAAGAATGATCGAACAATTGGATGAATAAATGACCGAACGAACAATCCATCAACGAACTAACGATTGGATGAATGATCGAACGATTGGATGACTAAATGACAGAACAAGCAATGAATGGAAGAATGAACGAACGAACGATTGGATGAATAAATGACCAAACGAACGATTGGATGAATAAATGACCGAACGAACAATGAATGAATGAATGAATGAATGACTTACAAAGATGTTGAGTCCCCTGGCGCATCTGTTCTTGGCGGAGGAGTTGAAGACTCTCCGACTGGTGGGGTCGGTGGAGAGATGGCCACACAGCAGGAACAGCGTCCCCAGCACGAACATGGACACCACCACGCCGATCAGCATCAGCTCCACGAACCACAACCTGTAACACGTGATAGCGAAGGTCAAATTACAAGAACGTGTATACATGGGTACCCGTCAGAACGACAGACAGCTGCTATGACTGTGGAACATTTATTTGAGAAATAGTGGAACTAATGAGGCACATATACTGACTTGTTTACTATTTATATCATACCATATCATAAACAGCGAAAAACAGCATATCTGGCTTCAATAGAAGAAGTTGCAACTTGGGTACCCGAGAGGTCCAGGAAGAGCAAATATATTAAAATTAGATGATCAACTCGACATAACACATGCAAGTTTCAAGAAAATAGGCTTGAAACATATGCCTCTATACAATTGTGAGTTAATGGTTGTATACACGGGTACCCGACAGTAATTATGTCAATAGAACATTTACGGTAAAAACAGGATGCAAAAGATAAAAGTTGATTCAGTAACTGTAGAAGGTAGAACAAGAAGTGTCAATAACAGCAGCGTTAGCTCAAAGCAACATCTACAAGTTGGTTAATCGGTGAAGATAGACATGTTAGCAGTATAAACGGGTACCAAGAAGGTACTGCAGGTGAAATGTTAAGCAAGCAATCCTGTCTGCAAAGACAACAGCTGATTAAAGACTAGCAAACAGACTTTTTAAGACAGAGAAATCAGATTTTCCACGAGCAGAATACAATACTTGTGAGTCATTACCACTGCACAAAGTGGATGTTTTTCTCAATGTTCACGTTAAAGCGCTTGCTGCAGCATATCATATCTTTTAACGACGTCAAATATCTCTTCAGATATGTTTTATCCAAACTGATCATCTCTAAAACGAATGTGAGCCGTCAACTCTCTTGTAAGATATGGCATGCCAAACATTAACATTTCCAAAAGGAATATGAATGATCAAATCAGTGTCAAACTGAAGCAAAAATGCAACAACAGAAGATGCTGTGAATCATAAAGCTCCTAATCTGATATAAAACAGAACTGCAAATCGACAAAATAGGATCCAAGGCAGTTCATCAAAAGGATGAAGTATATAACGAGGCTCTGAAGTCCAGCCGTTAGGTGATAGATATGGGGTCAATTGTGCACTATCTGTTATAACCATGAAACTCGACATGATGATAGATTTAGATGCTACAATTATTTCGGGATACGGAGCCAATTTGAAAAAAATCCAATATAGCCGCTATTTTCAAGATGGCCGCGAGACATATGTCTTGTTTTCTTGAAATATTATTGAAATAAGTTATTGATTAAATACTAAACATTTACTTTAAAGATGATTTGTGTTTAAGTTATTTTGATTTAAATTAAAAAGGCAAAATTCTTAAATGTTGAAGACATTGTTTCTAAAACATGCAAATTGTTAGAGGAGGGCTTAAGGTTGTATAATGATTATGTACAAATATGTTATATGACAGAATACATTTCTTTGAATTTAAAATTCAATGCTATAAATATATATGTATTAAAATGTATTTCTATTTTTGTCAATAAACATAACAAAATGTTTCGAGTCCCTGTTGTCACTTGTTAGCATTATGCTATAACTGACCCCGTGGGACTCCCTGACTTAGAGTGACTCCCTCGGGCCCCCGCGATAGCGGAAGGATTAATGGTGTTTCTGCACTAAAAGGCGGCCAGTCAGCCATGACCTTTGCAGTGACGAGAGAACGAGTTTACACAGCAAACCCACCCTCCCATCACCTGTTAGCCTTACATCTAGTCTCTGAAATGAACATATTTTATAGAAAAAACAGTTCTTAAAGTATAGTCATAAAATATAATAAAAAGGAGCCCAGAGACTTTCTTCATTTTCAAATACTACAGTAATCTAGACTTGCCAAACATTATAGACTTGCATGAGCTGTATTGGATATAGTTGTTTCAGTGTCTGTATGACAGACTAGTCATCTGTGAACAGAGCATTGTCCCACAAAGTGATCTTAGCCTTCGACTATCGATAGGCTTTGTTACAGTATGGAATTGAGTGAGTGAGTTGGGTCTAATGCCGCTTTTAACAGTATTCCAGTCATATCGCCGCGTGTCAGCTTAATGTGGGGGGAAAGCCCGAAGTGATGCAGTTCTCAGACGTTTACCACTTCGGTGAAACCCACGAGCACGGGTATGGTGCTGACAAACCTAGAAACATAATCGGGGCGAACCGGGATTCGAATCAACAATCATAGGTTTCTGGCGTGCCAAGGGACGGAACTCTGCACAGCGAATCGCGGCGCCTTAGACGACTGGGCCACCCATGCCCCCTGTTACAGTATGGAAGTTAAGACAGTCGTAGTACTTCTACTGCCTTGACACACGTGGCCCAGTTAAGGCAAGTAGGGACAGTAGGGAGCCAAGTGTCAAAATGGTTCGCTCGTCACGCTAAAGACCCCGAGTTCGATCTACTTCCTACATGGGTTAAATATATGAAGATCACAGTTGGTCACCGCCGTCGTGGCTTGTAACATATGGCAAACCACGCTCTACCATTCACGTGAGAGTCTTCCCTGATTCTCCAGGGCCATTATGGTCATCCAACCCCAATTTAAGTCGACTCGGACATATCGAGGCCTCGTACAGGATACAAGGTCACGCTGATTGTCCCTCGATTTGTGCCGAGTACCGGGTCGTGGAGACGGCACGAAGGTCAAGGCCACACAACACTCAGGTCGGTTTTAGGTTGGAGTGGTGACTCTCCTCCAAAAGACAACCAATTTCAGCAAAACAAATATGCGATTTGCCCAAACAGGAAAAAACATCATGTCTGGCTTCAACGATAACATTTTTTTTCTACTTGAAAACCAATCATCTACAGTGAGTGCAGAATTCCCTATATTAACGATTGTCTTGGAAATGCGATTGCTGTGGGCAAGTAGGCGGTGAGCAAATGCTGAAAAATAAGACTGACTGTCAAGACTGACGATGCATTACTCCAAGGAAATTCTTTGCACTGACAGTAAAACTAAAGAAATATTTGCTTCATTTTGTACCCAACTGTTTTCATTCATTTTACCACAGGGTAGAGATTTCTGGAATGCTTAACACTGATCCTCCCAAAGAGGATAGTTAGTATAAAAAGCTCATATCTTATTTAGGAAACTAATTAATCATTAGATGTTTACACTGAGACTCGAGAGCAGCATATAATGCTTCCTTAAATATTAATCTGGATGTCAACATCGTCGACATGGGCGGTACGATAAAATAGACAGCCTGGAAAAGATGTCGAGATTGCGAAGTGGCGCTAACGTCAGTTCCCTATAGACCAGATATAGAAGATTGCGATGAACAAAGGCTTATTGAGAGTGGGAACCATTGTAGAGCTGACAGATGTGTGGTTATTGTCAAATGAAATAGCATCGCATTACTGCCATTTGAAAATACTACTATGCCATGACAATTCGAAGTTGTTACAGCGACTAAGTCAGATTTACCGCAGCTTTGGAGAGTGTTTCAGATATATTATAGCGTGCCAGCTTTCTGGGGGAGGAACATCTAAGTGATGCAGGTCATTGACCTTTACGGCTGGGTGCTGACAGACCAAGGCTCACATTCGAGGCAAATTTGGAATTCTAACCAAAGATCTGCGGATCCTCACACATCTAAGGGACGCAACTCTGCACAGCGAATTACTATGCCTACACACCTGGGTTGTCGGTGGCTCCTGTTGTAGTAGTAGTAGTTTGTTTGATTGTTGTTTAACGCAATATTCTAGCTATATGACGGCGGTCTGTAAATAATTGAGTCTGGATCAGACAATACAGTGATTGACATCATGAGCATCGGTCCACGCAATTGGGATCGATCACATGCATCTTCAGTCAAGTCAGCGTCAGTGTGAATGCTGTATAACGCCGAATTCAGCAATACACAGAACGGCGCCCTGGAAATAACCGTATCTGCATCAGACAAACAAATGAGTGAAAGCATGAGCATCTTCCAGCCCGAACACACAGAGCCTTACATCATCGAGGCTAGACCAGACAATCCAGTGATTCACATCGAGAGCATCGATCCTCGCCGTCCGAACACGCCGAGACGGACTCCGCCAAGACTGAGTCTTACATATTCAAGACTGGACCAGACAATCCAATGATTTACATCATGATCATCGATTTACGCAACAGGGATAAGATGGCGCTAGCAACCAAATCAGCGAGCCTGACGACCCGATCTCGCCTGTCGCCTGCAGCATGGGGGAGATATTCACTGCGTGTGCTGCCGACAGTTTTTCATCATAGATAAGCTCGAGACCCATCGTGGAATGACATCAAAGAAATCATCTATAACAGGATCTGACATCGTCCATTAATAAAGCACGCAGCCGATAATTCCACGTGAATACTTAATACCACGTGAATACCTAATACCAGCAATGCCAACGGCGCGTTACCTAATGGTTTATTTACCGACAGTGCCAGCCAATTATCTTCCTCGTCGTATGATATTATCGACGCAAGAACGTATATACATGGTTAATACAGTGCCATACCACATGCACGTCGCATATATCAGATGTAAATTGCAGATATTGTTGAAATATATTTTATTTAGCAAAGACAAATGATGCCCTCTGTCATTAGATATACCGCATCAATCTCAAGGTTGGCTAAATCGGAAACCGAAATAATGCCCTTTCTCACGCCCCTCACAATATCGTGTCAGGGTTGGATAAGCACGGTGATGGGCGCTTCCATAGAAAGAAGGTTTAAAGAAATTTGAAGATAAATGGCGTTGATCATGCTAGTCACTTACACATGTGATAATGAGTAATGCATTCCAAGTTGATGTTACCATACTTTGTTATGCAATGCGACTGTCGGTCAGAACTCAACTGTACATAATTACGACATTGACATTCTTCGTGCATGCGCAATAGCAGAGGTGGTACGCATTCGTCACCACTCGCCCCTTTCCGTAACCTGCAAGAAGACTCGTCCCCTTTATCGATGAATGTTGTGTGCGAAAATACGCCAAACCAATCAGAATCCGCGTATGATTTCAAGTCCTTCGTCAAAGAATCCC